TGTTAGAGTAATTAAATATTAAACCATACCTTCATCTAATAGCTTAAGCTTTTAGAATAGTTGGCAGTGGTTTCACAAAATTTCGCAGGTCTATTTGCTTACCAACCGCACGTTCAGAAGATTTTTAACACTAGATTCAGAAAATTATAGGCCAAGGTTGGTCATGTTAGCAGAACAATGAGTAGGCAAAGAAAAGTTAGCATCTTGCTCTAATCCTAAGTTCAACGCTTGGAACTTGCTATCCGCTGAGGAACACTCCCAAAAGAGGAAACATCAAAGAAAAGGGACACAAAAGTTCTGCGTTTCACAATCACAACAAGCAAAAGAAAACACAGTGAAGAGTCGCCGCCTTTTAGATAAAGATTAGGAGAATAATGTGTCGCCATAATTATGCTTTTTTTTTATCATTTTAATGAGGTCACACGTAACAAATCTTTCATAGATTTTCGAATTTTCTCGAGTAAATAAGTGATAAGAATTATATGAAATAGCCACCTGACCGGACCTTGAACATAAAGCAGGGGACCAATTGTGTGTTCTCCAGCTCTAAGACGAAGACATTCGATAAAATATCTCCCGTAAGCTACAAAAGAAATTCCGCAACTGTGCATTGCATGACATTCAAATAATCGTTGGGGAGCAGGTAAGTTGCCGTGGAAATCCAAAAAAATGTGCTGTAATGTTAGAGATTATAATATCACTCCTGGCATGATCGTGCCGATACGACAACATTACTATATTATGAAATACAAGAAGTGTGAGGAATTTTAAAATGGTTGGTTCCTTATTTGACTGCTTCAATAAGGAGACGAGATCCAGTTGCTTACAAATAATGCTGGACCGACTGATTATACCTTATAATAATACAGTTGGCCAAAGACTCTCATGCATACAGAGACCAGAAGAAAAAGGAGACTTGAAAGGTTCAACTTCATGAGGAATCATCCTGTCATTGGTGTTGAATGCAATACCGCCCAAGGGGCTGTGCATGGCAATATAGAACTCAGAGCCAGATCATTCATTACGACATCAGAAGCGTAGGCACGTATTCCTCTGACAGAGTCAACATTGTCTCGACTTGTCCTCTCTTTTGTACAAGGTTTCTTCAAGACAAGCCAAAGCGAAGTCGTAACCAAGCAGCAACACGTCGATACGTTGAAGTCAATGCCTCCCAAGGAGCCCTGCATGGCAATATAGAACTCAGAGCCAGGTCATTCGTTACAACATCAGAGCCTTAGGCACTTGCACCTCTGACAGAGTCAACATTGTCTCAGCTTGTCCTCTCTTTTGCACAAGGTTTCTTCAAGACAAGCCTAAGCAAAGTCGTAACCAAGCAGCAACGCGTCACTTCAATATGCAGAAAGAGAGTACAAGATCTTCATTGGGCAATCAAGAAAGCTCCTCAATGGAACTTTAGAAGTAAACGAGTGGAATTTTGTCCAAGAGCAAGAGAACATCCAGGAAAGTTGGCTATAGAAGCTGCTATAGCCTCACCTTTTCCTCTGCCAGATCCACTTATTCCCACCGCCGCCCGCGCCCGCGCCCCCCCCCCCCCCCCCCCTATATAGAGGGATAGCTGCTTTTTCTCATCCCAATCCAGGAAATTCCTAAACAGAAATGAATTCAGGTTCCATTGAACCGCTAGATAGAAGTTTTCCTCAGCTGATTTGACATATAAAGAAGCGTCTGCTCTTGAGCAACTCCAGATTGTGAAATGAAGGTCAAGAACTCTGCTGAAGGTCAAAGCGCCGTCCATCTGGATATTCCTCAGCTTCAGAAGAAAAATGACACCACCATTTCACCCGCCACAATCTTTGAGCCGCAAACTAGTGCTGGTAGGAGAGATGGAAGCAGCGGAAACTCTGTTTCCCCCGCATTACCGGCAGTTCCTGCCCCGGAGAAAAAGCTGACTCTGTTTGCTCTCCGCCTTGCGGTCCTCGAGAAAGCTGCCACTGGCCTGGGAGCCCTTGGTTTCATCTGGGCCACGGTTGTACTCCTGGGGGGCTTTGCCACTACCTTAGAGAAAACCGACTTCTGGTTCATCACCATCATTTTATTAATTGAAGGAGCTCGAATATTCAGCAGGAGTCATGAGCTGGAATGGCAACACCGGTCCACTTCATCAAGAGCTGATGCCGGAATTAGAAGCTTCCGAAAGCTTAGATCGAGCTCTAGAGCTCTAGTTGAATCCGTGAAGGATATGTTGAGTCCCATAAGCTCTGCTACAAGGAAGCAAAGTCAACCCAGCAGGGAAATTTCCGAAACTACAGATGTGACAAATGTCAGAGAGCAGAAATTGAGAAGGAAGCCGACCCGGAAATGGACTTCTTCGGAAGTTCCTATTCTACCTTATGGAGGGTGGGTTTTTCTTTCGAGAAATATCGGCGAGATTTTCTACTGGCTTCAGCTCTTATCTGCGATAGCATGCGTCGTGCTCTCATTGATGAAGCTCATCAAGCACAATTATGGTGAGGTAGCTAAAGTAGACCCGGACAAGAAGAACCGGAAAGCTGCTCTGATTATCTTTTATTCCTTGGCTTTGGCAGAAGCTCTGGTCTTCCTGACGGAGAAACTTTACTGGGAGTGGAAGGTAGTCATCTGTAAGCTTCTTGAAGGGGTGAACAAGGAATGCGATCTAGGGGCTTCAGGTATGATCTCAACTCGGAGATTTTTCTATGACTCTTACTCAAGATGTATTAATGGGAGCATTTTTGATGGCCTGGGAATGGATATGGTGACTTTTGCGATGGATCTCTTACGTTCAAACTCGCCGGATGAGCAGCTCATAGGAGCCAGGATTCTTCACCGGTTTGCTAAAACAGAACGGTTTTCAGATGACACACTTCAGAAGATCGGAACAACTCTGCCGGTTATAGAGAGACTGGTGGAGATCTTAAACTGGGAAGATCCACAAGGAGAAGAAATCAGGTTATCAGCCGCAGAAATAGTTTCCAAATTAGCCGGGAAAAAGCAAAACTCTCTTCGGGTTGCTGGAATACCCGGGGCAATGGAATCAATATCATCTCTTCTACAGACAAACAGAAGGCCCAGTTCTACAGCAGACGAAATTGGCGAAAAGAAAATCAACTTTGGCCATGAGGACTATGGATACGTTACTTTCAATAATTTGGGGCTACTCATTCTGAAGAAACTAGCCCGTGATCACGACAACTGCGGAAAAATTGGAAACACAAGGGGCCTTCTTTCCAAAATCATAGATTTCACTTATGCTGATGAAAGAATATTGAATGACTCAACCGTCACAACATTGCAGGTTTTGACTGTTAAAAGATCCCTACAAGTTATTAAGATGCTGGCAGGCACAACGGGTACCACAGGGAAAAATCTCCGGAGAGAGATCTCAGAGAGAGTCTTCACCATAAGCAACATAAGAGATATTCTACGATATGGAGAGAAACGACCGGAACTGCAGAAACTAGGGATTGAGATCCTTAAGAGTTTGGCACAGAACGACAATGCGACGGAGCAAATAGGAGGGACTGGTGGAGTTCTGAAAGAACTGTTAAAGATTTTCTTCCAAGAAGGAGTGCCGGAAGATCAAAGGGATGTGAGGATTGTGGCTGGAGAAGCCCTGGCTCTGCTGGCTTTTGAGAGCAAGAGCAACTGTCATCGCATCTTGAAGTTAAATGTAGTGGAGAGGCTCCAAGACGCATTGGAGATTCCGCTTCTTCATGTCAATGCTGGAAGAATTTTGAGGAATCTGTGCACTTTCAGTGGGCCAGAGTCCTTCAACCAGCTAAAGGGAGTAACAGCAGTGGCACCAACAGTAAGTGCGTTATTTTGCAAAAATGAACCCAAGCCGGCATCTCAGTAACCGGAAAGGGAAGTTGTTTACAAGTTTAAGTTGTCCTAGAGAGAATGATATTAATTGTTCCTACCTAACCATATTTCCTCAACTCAGGTTCTCAAGGCAATCTTGTCAGGAGAAGGCAAACTACAAGAGGTGATGGTTGGGTTAGCAGCACATGCTTTCAAGTTCATGACAGCAGAAGAATCGACTGCCGTCTTCAAGAGGGCGGGGTTTAAAGAAGCAGAATTAGCTTGCGCTTTGGTCGAGATCCTGAAGAGCTACCGGAACCCAAATATAAAGGTGCCAAGAATGAGAAGGTTTGCTATCGAGCTGGCAATCTGGATGATGAGAGACAAATTGACGAATGTGCAGATCTTCAGGGATCTGGGCATGGAGGAGGAGCTTGAAGGAGTCATGGATACCACATCAGAGCTAGAGAGCTTCAATATTTTCTCTGGCACCATTGGACTAAGCAGGCACAGCATGACCATTCACTCACTTGTTGAGACCGCACTTATGCTGCTGAAGAACAGGTTTGATCAACCGATAGGTTACTGAGCAAGCGATGAAGCCAAATTATCCAACAAATGGGAAACATGAAGGTCTGCTGGACTACACATTTCATTCTCTAACGGCCACTCACCTTTTTTTTTATCTTCTTTTTCACTGTTAAATTTTTTGAATTGTCCCTACTTTCTTTATCTGATACTCGGCTGCGACACATGTCATTATCCTAATTGAATATTAACGGATATCAGGGCCAATAAAAGTTACGACTTTTTTCTTCATTTTAATGACGCGGCGCATAACAATTTTTCTTTTCGGATAAATGGTTCGTGGGTATTCAAATTTTCGTGAGTAAATAGTAGTAATTTCTCATCATCCAATAATGGCCACCTAACTGGACCTTTAATACAAAGTACGGAGTCGGGGACCATTTGTGGGTCCTCTAGCTCGAGACGAAGACGTTCGATAAGACACCTCCAGCAAGCTACAAACGAAATGCCAAACTGCACTCGACACGACATTGAAAGAATCGTCGACGAGCAAAGCCAGCGGTTGTGGAAATCCGGGAATGCGCCTGTCATATCAGAGATTACGTTATGACTCCGTGCATGATCATGTGGCTACGAAACGCATTACTAGATTTTGACGCAACGAACTGCTGTAATAAGGAGGCAAGACCCAGTTGCCCACAAGTAATGTGGCGATTTCCAAACTGGACCGATTGATTATGAATATTAACAGTACAGTTGACCGGATGACTCTCATGCACAGAGAGACCCGAAGAAAAAGGAGGCTTTGAAGGTTCAACTTAGTGACTAATCTTCCTTTCAATGAGGTTGACGTCGACGCCTTCCAAGGAGCTGAGCATGGCGTATAGAACTCAGACCCTGATCATTCATTATAATATGAGGAGCTTAAGCATATGCTCCTCAAGCAGAATCAAATACTGTCTCAAACTTGTCTTCTCTCTTGGACAAGTTTTGTTCAACACAAGCCAAAGCAGTCACCAAGTAGCAAGCGCGTTGCTCCGACATGCGGAAAGAGAGCACGAGATCTTCATCGGGCAATCAAGAAAGCTCGTCAATGGAACTTTAGAAGTAAACAAGCCAACGATATCGGAATATGGTCCAAGAGCAAGAGAACTTCCAGGAAGGTTGGCAATAGAAGCTGGTTAACCTTACTTTTCCTCCGCTAGATCCACTTATTCCCACCACCCTCTTATAGAGGCATAGCTGTTCTTTCTCGTCCCAATCCAGGAAATTCATAAACAGAACTTTTGGAAATTGAATTCAGGTTCCATTGAACTGCTAGATAGAAGTTTTCCTCGGCTGATTTGACGTATACAGAAGCGTCGGTCCTTGAGCCACTCCAGACTGCGAAATGACGATCAAGAGCTCCGCTGAAGGTCAAAGCAGCATTCATTTGGATATTCCCCAGCTTCAGAAGAAAAATGAAACCATCATTTCACCCGCCACAATCTTTGAGCCACAAACTAGTGCTGGTAGGAGAGATGGAAGCAGCGGAAACTCTGTTTCCCCTGCGCTGCCAGTTGTTTCAGCCCCGGAGAAAAAGCTGACTCTGTTTGCTCTCCGCCTTGCAGTTCTCGAAAAAGCGGCCACTGGCCTGGGAACCCTTGGTTTCATCTGGGCGACTGTTGTACTCCTGGGGGGCTTTGCCGATACCCTAGGCAAAACCGACTTCTGGTTCATCACCATCATTTTATTAATTGAAGGAGCTCGAATATTCAGCAGGAGTCATGAGCTGGCATGGCAACACCAGTCCACATGGTCAATAGCTGATGCCGGAATTAGCAGTTTCCGAGTGCTCAGATCGAGCTCCAGAGCTCTAGTTGAATCCGTGAAGGATATGTTGAGCCCCGTAAGCCCTGCTACAAGGAAGCAAAGTCAACACAACAGGGAAATTTCGAAAAATACAGATGCAATAACCGTTAGAGAGCAGAAATTAAAAAGGAAGCCGACCCGGATTTGGACTTCTTCCGAAGTTCCTATTGTACCTTATGCAGGGTGGATTTTCCTTTCGAGAAACGTCAGCAAGATTCTCTATTGGCTTCAGCTCTTATCTGCGATAGCCTGCGTCGTGCTCTCATTGATGAAGCTCATCAAGCACAATTTTGGTGAGGTATCTGCAGGACACACCGACAAGAGGAACGGGAAAGCTGCTCTGTATATCTTTTATGCCTTGGCTTTGGCAGAAGCTCTGGTCGTCCTGACAGAGAAACTTTACTGGGAGTGGAAGGTTGTCATCTGTAAGCTTCTCGAACAGGCGAATGAGGAATGCGATCTGGGGGCTTCAGGTATGATCTTGACTCGGAGATTTTTCTACGACTCCTATTCAAGATGTCTTAATGGGAGCATTTTTGATGGCCTGGGAATGGATATGGTGACTTTTGCGATGGATCTCTTATGTTCAAACTTGCCGGATGAGCAGCTCATAGGAGCTAGGATTCTTCATCGGTTTTCTACGAAAGAACGGTTTTCAGATGCCACGCTTCAAAAGATAGGAACAACTCTGCCAGTTATAGAGAGACTGGTGGAGATCTTAAACTGGAAAGACCCCCAAGAGGAAGAAATCAGGCTATCAGCAGCAGAAATAGTGTCCAAATTAGCTGGGAAAAAGCAAAACTCCCTTCGGGTCGCTGGAATACCCGGGGCAATGGAATCGATATCGTCTCTTCTCCAGACAAACAGAAGCCCCAGTTCTGCAGCAGATGAAATTGGTGAAAAGGAAGTCATCTTTGACCATGAAGACTATGGATACTGGAATTTCAATAATATGGGACTTCTCATTCTGAAGAAACTATCCCGTGATCACGATAACTGCGGAAAAATTGGAAACACAAGGGGCCTTCTACCTAAAATCATAGATTTCACTCATGCTGATGAAAGAATGTTGAAGGACTCTAGTGTCACCACATCGCAGGTTTTGAATGTTAAAAGGTCCTTACAGCTTTTGAAGAGGCTGGCAAGCACAACAGGTACCACCGGGAAAAATCTCCGGAGAGAGATTTCTGAGATAATCTTCACCATAAGCAACATAAGAGATATTCTACGGTGCGGAGAGAAGCGACCGGAACTGCAGAAACTAGGGATTGTGATCCTTACCAGTTTGGCACTAGAAGGCGATGCGTCGGAGCGAATAGGAGAGACCGGTGGAGTTCTGAAAGAACTGTTAAAGATTTTCTTCCAACATGGCGTACCAGAAGATCAAAGGGATGTGAGGACCATGGCTGGAGAAGGCCTGGCAATGCTGGCTTTCGAAAGCAAGAGCAACTGTCATCGAATCTTGAAGTTAAATGTAGTGGGGAGGCTCATAGAAGCATTGGAGATTCCGCTTCTTCGTGTTAATGCTGGAAGAATTTTGAGGAATCTGTGCACTTACAGTGGACCAGTGTTCTTCAACCAGCTGAAGGGAGTAACAGCAGTGGTACCAATAGTAAGTGCATTCTTTTGCAAAAGCTGAAGCTGAGCCGGCATCTGGAAAGGGCAGTCATGTGCAAGTTTAAATTGTCCTATAGAGAATGAAATTAATTGTTTCTACCTAACCATATTTCCTCAACTCAGGCTTTCAATGCAATCTTGTCAGAAGAAGGCAAACTCCAAGAGGTAATGATTGGGCTAGCGGCACATGCTTTCAAGTTCATGACAGCAGAAGAATCGACCGCCGTCTTCGAGAGGGCGGGGTTTAGAGAAGCCGAAGTAGCTTGCGCTTTGGTCGAGATCCTGAGGAGCCACCGGAACCCGCATACAAAGGTGCCGAGAATGAGAAGGTTTGCTATCGAGCTGGCAATCTGGATGATGAGGGACAAATCAATGAATGTGCAGATCTTCAGGGATCTGGGCATGGAGGAGGAGCTTGAAGGAGTCTTGGATACAACGTCGGAGCTAGAGAGCTTCAATATTTTCTCTGGCACCATTGGACAAAGCAGGCACAGCACGACCATTCACTCCCTTGTTGAGACTGCACTTATGCTGCTGAAGAATAGGTTTGATCAACCAATAGGTTACTGAGCAAGTGATGATGCCAACTCATCCAACAAATGGAAACATGAATGTAATCTAGACTATACACTTCATTCTCTGATTCCAGAAGCAACTTAATAAAGGTAATTGCTTCTTTAGCAACTCAGCCCCGCTTAAGTCTGTTGAAATGCTTCTGAAAGTTTATAACCTTCTTTACTTGTTTTGCACGGAATTTGTGTGTTTTGCGAAACACCACATGTACTACTGCCAGAACATACGAAAAACGTGTACATACAACCACGCAATCCGTTTTCTTTTTTTCGATTTAACTCCTGAACATTCAACCATCCGAGTGTTGCATATACCGCGATTCTGAGCTCCCTACTTCGGCTATTGAAAGACCAGATTTTTCCTTCCAAATCTTTTTCAACTTAGCAGCAACTCGAAGACTTAAGGAAGATATAATCCAATGCAATCATCACATATTTTCCAATTGCCTACACCAAGAACAAGAACCCCAGAACGCAATTCGTCATGCAACGGAAGTTAACACAAAGAAAAGAAAGAACCCATTGCTTACTTTGCCACGACGGAAGGAAATCTCACGATGAACCCATGAATCATCTGCGCTATTCGCTTCTCTGAAACCCCTTAGACTGGACGAGACAGAAACCAAAGAACGAATGGGAACTTGCAGCTGAACAGCTGACTCTATAAGGCAAGAAGCGAACGAACTAAGCTCATAAACTGAGAGATCCGAGACACTTTTGCGGTGCATATCAGGGAGTTTCGGAGCCGAGACGAGTGAGGATTGAGCGATGGTGAGCGAGCTCAGTCGCTGTGAATTGCGAAAATCAAGAAGAAACGGTGGAGTGGAAGGAAGGAAACGAAAATAACGAAATTGAATTGAAACTGTTGACCCTGAACAAGAAATTAAAAAAGAAATATTATTCTATATATATATATATTCTAGGCAAAAACATGTTTTTAACTCGTTTTTTAATTTTTTGGATTACGCCTTCCCCATTCTTTCACTCTTCCAATGAACGGTTGACAAAAAAAAAACGACCACTCATTTTTTTTTTGTTTCTCACTATTAAATTTTCAGAATTGGCCCTACTTTCTCTCTCCTACGCTCACCTCCTATACATAATTACTCATTTTCTTTCTATGCATAATTACTTAATTATGAGCACGCGAGCGGCGGCTGCAACACTCGCCATAACCCTAGTTGCGTATTAAGGGATAACCGGGTCAATAAAAATTGTCATTTTTTTCTTCATTTTAATGAGAGATTCGAACGCTAGAATTGTCATAGCTTACAACGTTCGCTTGAGTACTGTAATATTTTTTTTTCGCTCATTTAAATGCCATATCAGTGTAAAATCATTTACTTGAATGCCTATTTCGAAGAAATTGAAGTCTAATGTGGAAAATTCTTCCAAAGAAAATAAAGTCTAATGTGGAAAATTCTTCGTCCGACGTGGCAAGAGCCAAAAAAAAACGAAGACGGTTATTGTGTGTCCTCTAGCTGGAGACGAAGGCCTTCGATAAGACATCTCCAGCAAGCAGCAAACGAAATGCCAAACCACGTTTTCCATGATATTGAAAAATCGTCGAGGAGCAAGCAAGCAAGCAAGCCGCCGTGGAAATCCGAGGATGCGCCTGTCATGTAAGAAAATACAATATATGTATGGCTCCTTGCATGATCATGTGGATACGAAACAAATTTAACAGGTTTCGACGTGACGAGCTGCTGCAAGTAATGTGGCGATCTCCCGGGCTTGACCGAACGATCACGACCTGCAAAAGTAACAGCTGACCAGATGACTCCCATGCGCAGAGAGACCCCGAAGGAGAAAGGAGGGCTTTGAAGGTTCAACTCCATGACTAGTCTTGCTTTCGATGAGGTCGACGTGGATGCGTTAGGAGGAGCTGTGCATGGAAGATGTACAACTCAGACCCAGACCATTCATTATAATATCAGGACATTAAGTATATCTCAAGCGGAGTCAATGTTGTCTCAAGCTTGTCTTCTCCCTTGTAGCACAAGTTTTGTTGAACACAAGCCAAAGCGGTCACCAAGCAGCAAACGCGTAGCTCCAATACGTGGAAAGAGAGTACAAGATCGGCATCAGGCAATCGAGAAAGCCGGAACTTGGGAAGTAAACAAGCCAATGAGATTGGAATTTGGTCCTAGAGCAAGAGAACTTCCAGGAAAGTTGGCAATAGAAGCGGCTTAACCCCTTTCATAGAGGTATAGCTGCTCTTTCTCATCCCAATCCAGGAAATTCATAAACAGAAATTTTGGAAATTGAATTCAGGTTCCATTGAACGGCTAAATAGAATTTTTCCTCAGCTGATTCGGCGTGTAAAGAAGCGTCTGTTCTTGAGCCACTCCAGACTGTGAAATGACGATCAAGAGCTCTGCTGAAGGTCCAAGCAGCATTCATCTGGATATTCCTCAGTTGAAGAAGAAAAAAGATGCCATCATTTCACCCGCCACAATCTTTGAGCCGCAAACTAGTGCCGGTAGGAGAGATGGAAGCACCAGAAACTCTGTTTCCCCCATGCTGCCGGCCCCGGAGAAAAAGCTGACTCTGTTTGCTCTCCGCCTTGCGGTTCTCGAAAAAGCTGCCACTGGCCTGGGAGCCCTTGGTTTCATCTGGGCCACGGTTGTACTCCTGGGGGGCTTTGCCATTACCTTAGACAAAACCGACTTCTGGTTCATCACCATCATTTTATTAATTGAAGGAGCTCGAATATTCAGCAGGAGTCATGAGCTGGAATGGCAACACCAGTCCACTTGGTCAATAGCTGATGCGGGAATTAGCAGCTTCCAAAAGCTCAGATCGAGCTCTAGAGCTCTAGCTGAATCCGTGAAGGATATGTTGAGTCCCGTAAGCTCTGGTGCGAGGAAGCAAAGTCAACACAGCTGGGAAATTTCCGAAACCACAGATGCAACAAATGTCAGAGAGCAGAAATTGCAAAGGAAGGCGACCCGGAAATGGACTTCTTCGGAAGTTCCTATTCTACCTTATGGAGGGTGGGTTTTCCTTTCGAGAAATATCAGCAAGATTCTCTATTGGCTTCAGCTCTTATCTGCAATTACCTGCGTCGTGCTCTCATTGATGAAGCTCATCGAGCACAATTATGGTGAGGTAGCTAATGGAGACACGGACCAGAGGAACCGGAAAGCTGCTCTGATTATCTTTTATGCCTTGGCTTTGGCAGAAGCTCTGGTCTTCCTGACAGAGAAACTTTACTGGGAATGGAAGGTAGTCATCTGTAAGCTTCTTGAAGGGGTGAACAAGGAATGCAATCTGGGGGCTTCAGGTATGATCTCGACTCGGCGATTTTTCTATGACTCCTACTCGAGATGTATTAATGGGAGCATTTTTAATGGCCTGGAAATGGATATGGTGACTTTTGCAATGGATCTCTTATGTTCAAACTCGCCGGATGAGCAGCTCGTAGGAGCCAGGATTCTTCGCCGGTTTTCTACATCAGAACGGTTTTCAGATGACACACTTCAGAAGATCGGAACAACTCTGCCAGTTATAGAGAGACTGGTGGAGATCTTAAATTGGAAAGACCCACAAGAGGAAGAAATCAGGCTATCAGCCGCAGAAATAGTATCCAAATTAGCCGGGAAAAAGCAAAACTCCCTTCGGGTCGCTGGAATACCCGGGGCAATGGAATCGATATCATCTCTTCTACAGACAAACAGAAGCCCCAGTTCTATAGCAGGCGAAATTGGCGAAAAGAAAATCATCTTTGACCGTGAGGACTATGGATACTGGACTTTCAATAATTTTGGGCTAGTCATTCTGATGGAACTAGCCCGTGATCACAATAACTGCGGAAAAATTGGAAACACAAGGGGCCTTCTTTCCAAAATCATAGATTTCACTCATGCTGATGAAAGAATATTGAAGTACTCAACCGTCACCACATCGCAGGTTTCGACTGTTGAAAGATCCCTACAGGTTGTGAAGATGCTGGCAAGCACAACGGGTACCACAGGGAAAAATCTCCGGAGAGAGATCTCGGAGATAGTCTTCACCATAAGCAACATAAGAGATATTCTACGATACGGAGAGAAACAGCCGGAACTGCAGAAACTAGGGATTGAGATCCTTACCAGTTTGGCACAGGACAACGATGCGACGGAGCGAATAGGAGGGACCGGTGGAGTTCTGAAAGAACTGTTAAAGATTTTCTTCCAAGGAGTGCTGGAAGATAAAAGGGATGTGAGGATTGTGGCCGGAGAAGCCCTGGCAATGCTGGCTTTCGAGAGCAAGAGCAACTGTCATCGCATCTTGAAGTTAAATGTAGTGGACAGGCTCCTAGAAGCATTGCAGATTCCGCTTCTTCGTGTTAATGCTGGAAGAATTTTGAGGAATCTGTGCACTTACACTGGATCAGAGTCCTCCAACCAGCTAAAGGGAGTAACAGCAGCAGCACCAACGGTAAGTGCATTGTTTTGCAAAAACTGAACGCGAGCCAGCATCTCGAAAACTAGAATGGGCAGCCATGTACAAGTTTAAGTTTCCTAGAGATCATGTAGTTAATTGTTCCCATCTAACCATATTTCCTCAACTCAGGTTCTCAATGCAATCTTGTCAGAAGAAGGCAAACTACAAGAGGTAATGGTTGGACTAGCAGCACATGCTTTCAAGTTCATGACAGCAGAAGAATCCACCGCTGTCTTCGAGAGGGCGGGGCTTAGAGAAGCTGAATTAGCTTGCGCTTTGGCCGAGATCCTGAGGAGCCACCGGAACCCGCATACAAAGGTGCCGAGAATGAGAAGGTTTGCTATCGAGCTGGCAATCTGCATGATGAGAGACAAATCGACGAATGTGCAGATCTTCAGGGATCTGGGCATGGAGGAGGAGCTTGAAGGAGTCTTGGATACCACATCCGAGTTGGAAAGCTTCAATATTTTCTCTGGCTCCATTGGATTAAGCAGGCACAGCACGACCATTCACTCGCTTGTTGAGACCGCACTCATGCTGCTGAAGATCAGGACTGATCAAACAATAGGTTACTGACCCAGTGATGATGCCAAATTATCCAACGAAGGTAAACATGAAGGCATGCTAGTCCATTCTCTAATCCCAGATGTAAAGAAACAAAGGCAATTGCTTCTTCGGCAACTCTGCCCGGCAATTAGTTCTGATGAAATACTTGTGGAAGTTATCACCTTCCTTATTTGTTCGCACTGAATTTGTGCGATTTACAGCACACCACATGTACTACTACCAAAACAAATGCAAGATGCGTGCATACACCTGCACATTCTTTTAGTTTTTCAATATGACTCCTGAACATTCGAGCATCCAAGTGTTGCGCATACCGTGATTCTGAGCTCACAACTTCTGCCATTATAAGATGAGATACTTTCTTTCCAAACCTTGTTCTACTTAGCAGTGAATGTCAGACTTGGGGACGATATAATCCAAGGCAGTCATTGCATATCTTCACATGACTACACAAGAACAAGGACCCCAAAAGGCAAATTCATCACACATTGCTTACTCTGCGACTGCAGAAGGAAATCTCACGATGAATCCCTGGATCATCTGCATCATTCCTTTCTCTGAAACCCACTAAACAGGACGAGACAAGAACCCAAGAGAAAAACGCGAACTTGCAATTGAACAACTCACTCGTTAAAACTAGAGGCAATGAACTAAGCCAATAAACTAAAGGCAATGAACATAGCCCGATTTTTTTTCTATGTAATTTTTTTTTTTTGCCGAAAATGAGATCGAAACCATCGATGTACTTCGATTTGTAGATGACTCGAAATATTAAAATACAAAATGCATTTTGGGCATCGAATCTTTAAATTCTTGAACAAAATATTATGTACTTAACTTCAATTGCTTTGAATGGATCTATCGATATTTATTCCTGAAGATGAATATTATTCACAATTTTTGTAAATTTACTAGGTACTTGCCCATAGATTTATCTTGCAAGTGTCGCCAACATGTGCAATTTTATTGAGATAGCGATCCATTATGCTCTTATCATATTATAAATTCTCTAGTTAGGGAGCCAAATATTTTTAAAATACGAAAAGAAAAAGTCAAATCTCGAAAAATCTCAAAGTACCGTTACAAAGAAAACTCATCGCAGGGCACTTGACATTTAACTGACGTAAATATGACGCTTAAGTCATGTGAAAGCTTGGCCAGGAAGAATTGCCATAAAAAATTAATTTCCAGAAAATAAATTTAATACCAATAAGTATTTTCCCCAAGACGCAATTTTCACAAAAGCACCGCCAGACTTGAATACGAGAGTTGATTAGTAAACAAAATTATAATTATGATACATATCCTCACATATGTGAATTTATGTTAAGTATTTGATAATTGTATTTTAGAGTCGCGAAATTTGATAATATTTTAAAAAAAATTGAAAATTAATTAGAAAAGCGAAAAATTTTGGTTTGAAGGCCCAAACCGGCCCGAACCGAACCGAGCAATTTCATTCCCGGCCTTCTTTTTTCGAGCCGGGCAAAAAATCTCTCTATGCCCGGGCCGTTTGCACACCTTAGTGGGATTAATGTTGCTGGAGGGGGAATTTTTTTTTTTCTTATAATAGATCATAAGAAGACTTGGTTACACAAATCAAATAACCTCGTAAAAGGACACGATATTAGTATAACCATAACAAGTATTCACAATATTCCAAACCGCCGTGTACAAAACCGGAAAAAAAAATCAATAACCCGGAAAAAAGATTTGTTTGAAATTTCATTTACATCAACTAATCAATCATAATCTTCGTAGAAAAATCACGATTTCTCGGTGGGCAACTTGTAGCGACACAGAGGGCATGTGTGGTGGATCCTCAGCCAAGTTTCGATGCAATCTCTGTGGAATTCATGAGCGCAATCCAATCGGACGAGCTGGTCTCCGGCCGCGACTTCTTCCTTGCAAATCACGCAATCCAATTCGTCGCCGCTCGAGCGCCGATCACCCTCGAACACCACTTTGCTCAAGCTTTGAATTATCGACTCCCGCGCGGCTTCGAAGTTGGCCGCCGGTTGGTCCGGCGACTCCCTCATGACCCTCCTCCTCCTCCTCCTCCTCCTCCGCACATCTTCCCTGCCGTGATCAGGGTTCGCGACCAGCCCTTCTTGCCTCATTAGATTGAGCAGGAACCGCCGCTCTAGAATCGGGAACCGCCGCCCTCTTGCCTCCTCTCCAAGCATTCGAGAATGCAGGTACTGCAACTCGAGCCTCCGCAGTTGGGCTCGCATCTCGCGGAACTCCCGCTCCGAGATCATCACCTTGTGCATCATGCTCACTGCGATCATCGTCCTCTTGCGCCCCTCGTTCCGAGGACTGCTCACGGCGCCGGACGCGACCCCGGCGATCTCGGACACCAGCTCGTCACGGGTCAGGCACTTCTTGGCAGCGTTCGACCCCGCGCTCAGGTCGAGCCACCGTAACCGGTCCAACAGGAAGGGTAGCTGCATGCCGTCCAACGTGGAGGACACGATCGCCCATGCCGCCGGCGACGGCAGCGGGTGGTCGCCACGGGAGGCGAACGGCGCGCCCGGGAGCTCGGCTCGGATCGAGAAGGTGCGGTGGTCGAGTAGGCGAGGCGGGAACCCGGTCCCTCCTCGTGCCTCGGACTGAAGATAGTAGAGTCGGACATCGAACGACATGATCAAACGAGATTCGGGCGAGGACTGATCGTCCGGAACGGGCGTTGGCATTGCAGAGACTAAAGTTTGATAATTTGACATCTTCGCGACAATCATTGAAGTGTTCTTGGGACTGGGCGTGTATGTTGTATATACAAAAAAACTTTCCTTTTCTGAACACATGCTATTTTGGAATCACCTGTATTTCTTGGAAGTTACCTTTTTCATTTATTTCCTCTTCTAATATTTATTCCCAAAAATCCACGTGTGCTGTGCGAATTCAAAATATTAATATTTAAAAGACTTTTAAAAAATCGCTCCATAACGAAATACTAGAATTATTGTTAAATAATGAAGTTGCACGTTCGAAAGGGGGACAAAAAATTCGAGATTGAGAACTTTTTTTTGGTAAGTTTGTTCATAAGATGGAAAAATTCAAATTTCAAAATTGAAATATGCGAGAAAATAATGAATATACTAATTTGTATATTTGTTTACCGATAGAATATTTATAAAATGGTACATCCGTGATAAATTTACCACAAATTAATTTTTTGACAACGAAAAACCCTAAACTGGTAAATCCTCACTAAAGAAAATCACCATTTAGTGTACCCAAAAAAAAATTTAAAAAAAAGGCCGTATTGGGAGCTGCAAACGAAATCTTAAGCTACGACATAATGTCTTCCCAAAGGCAAGAAAACTGGGCAGAAAATGATACATAACATTGTTTGTCATTCTTTCCAGTGGCGCATCGATTGAGTTACTATAAAAGGGCACAGCTCTCCCCTTGCCTTGACCACCGCGCGCTCCGATGAACATCTGATATAATTCCAGGTCCTTGGTGCAATCACCGAGTAAAGTAGCTAGTTTTTCACATTCGTTGCTCTCCTTCAGGGCGAAATGTATTGCGGAATTTCCAAGGTTTTTTCAATAGGCGATATGACTTAAAAGATCAGAAAGGTCCCAAATTGCCTCTAACTAGAGGTTAAGAGTCCTTGCTAGGGTGGCAATTCCCGACAAAACACAACACGAGAATATAAGTAGAACCCCAGCAAGAATTTACTGAGATAGGCCCGAAGCCGACACGACACGGCACAACTTAAAACCAACATGAATCGATACATTTTCACTCATGCTAGGGAAACACGTTACGTAATCATGTCGAAAGATTTTTGGGATGACACGAACATGACATGCAAACAAAAATCGAGGAAAATTGCTCAAAAAGTCATAAACTTATTGCATTTTTATCAATTTAGTTCTAAACCTTTTTTGCAATTGTGCCAATTTAATTTATCCGGCCAACGCTGACATGATAATTTTTAATATTTTTTGAATTTTTGAATTTTTTATTTTTTCCTTTCTATTTCTACCCTTCTTCCTCTTGCCGGTCTGGGTCATTATCAGTGCCACATGCCCAATCAAAACTGGAATGGAGCATGTCCTTGCAACCTGTTGTGAGCCAAATAAGAGATTTGCCATATCATATACCAACAAGAGAATAGAGTATAGCCCATCCAAAACAATAATATCTTTTAATCCAATCCAAACAAGCTCTCTGTCTACAACTTAAAATTTTGATATTTCTGATGGGTTTGGTCCCAAAAAAACCATGGTAAAAAGCTCATGTTCGAGGTGGTGGTCGTGGTCGTGGAGACGGCCAAGCTAGAGGGAGTAACGGTGCGAAAAAATTCAGCCCGACCGGGATCGAACTGACACGAGCTTTCGAGCCCGAGTAAGACAGGGCTAGTCTTCGATGGCTCTTCAACTTCTCAATCGGGCTGATTTGGGTTTTCGGGACTAAGATGGTCGGGCCCGAATCGGCCCAGCCTGGCCCGATTCTAATTGTTTTAGGAAGAAAAAAACGAAAATACACATAAAATAATGGCCTACTTGGGTACTCGGTTCCGTGCGAGAAGGCGCCGTCGAAAAATAAAAATCATTCGATTAATCGACCAACCTAAATCAGTGATTCATCCTTGATACAAATGTAGGACACTACTATATTTATACTCGTGCACCACTTTGGTTCCACATGTTCCTAAAATAAAATTCAATAAAAGGTAAAAAAAAAACCCCAATTGATATTGTAAAAGCATCCGTTGAAAATTCTCACCTCGCTTGACAATAGGATTTGCATTTGATCTCCCTCGGCTATCGGTTTAAGCTTTTGAGCTCGATTTTCTAATGGAATGGATGAAAACAGCTCCCATATTGGTTTCATACATTCAACATTAATTACTGTACGTTTGCGTTCAACTAAAGAAGATTCGAATGACCAAACTGGCAGAAGAATTCGGCAGCCCAGAAAAAATAAAAATTCTGGAATTTCATTAAGAACCCCAATCACCAAAACGTTTTGCGGTCGAATATTTAAATTCTGAAAATCCAGAATTCAGAAATTTCTTGTTCTTTTCTGCTTAACTTTGATAACCAAATTTCCAATGCAATGAAACATTAGGAAGGTGACATTTACTGGAAAACAATATTGTCATTCATCATTCAAATTTCAAACTCACAAGCTTTGCACATATTGTCTCGTGTGTCTCCATGCTGCAAAACGTACACAAGGAAAGCACGATCAAAACTAGAATTTGGACTCAAAATTTCTCATCGCATCCTCAAAGTTCAAACACCAGTCTCCTCAAGCTTCGCATCATGGACTCGTG